ATTTGGGGCATTTTGTATAATTGCGCACGTACAAGTTGAAAATATCATATCTCGTCTACAAAGTTCCGATCAGTATCCGATGAAACTCCAAGAAGAACGGATCTTCTGTTTGGTAAGTAGGTTCCTGTAACCATAAGGAATAGTGTTATTGTGTGTCCGTCTGTCGGTTTCTGTGCGAACTATACGTTCAGTTTTCAAGCCATCGTTTTAAAGAAAAGACCGTCCTGTCATTCTATTGCAGGCAGTAAACACCTCGAAACTGGCCGATCGGTGGAACAGTAGATTCTTATGAGAAAAACTCAAGATATTTGAGCCAAACTCGGCATTTACTATTTAAGCTAAGCTGCTTATATTATAGGCCTTGTGGTTCTAGAAGCGATAACCTGACAAGAATAAATGCCCACAGACCCAGGCCTCTATGTAGCTACAGTTAAAACCAGTTGCGAATTATAAGCGAGACACGTTATACTTAATTCACTATTACAAATATGATCAATATCTAGCTACTGTAAGTAACTAAAAGAGATCTTGTCCATAATAAAACTTTTTGAAAACGGGTTTCAGCTTTTAGTTTGGTTATGCATAAATATCATTTCTTTTATTATTATTTTATTTTTTGCTGTGTAGTTTGTTTCAATTCGCGCACATAAAATGTTTACAAAAATTGTATTCATTTACAAGTTGCTTGTGTATGTGTTGTTTATGTGGGTTTTAGACATTTTTCAAATGTTTTTTTTTTGCTTTGTTTTTTAGATGTTTTTGTTCGGTCCTCTCTTTAGTATAAGCTGAGCTTGCGCAACAGTGGTAATTCGCGTAACAAAAACAGATTTGAAATTTTCACAAACAATTTAGAGAAAGTTAATTGCGTTGGCTGTGCCCAGGCGAGTGTGGTTGTGTGCGTGCGTGTGTATACATGTGTGTGTTATTAGTTTAAACAGAAACATAAAATTAGCGATGATGTTAAACGAGAGTTGTAAGGTTTTAAAAAAAAATCCTAGACAAAAATACTTATATAAGAATTGATGTTTAGCAATAGCCCCTGTCGGGCACGCGACGACGTGGCGCACACTTGATAATATCGTCGACACGCAGAATCATTTCGGCAGCCTCAGCGGCGGACATGAGCACCTGACGCTTCACAGCAAAGGACTCTGTGATGCCCAGGTCGCGCACATCGGCCACCTTGCCTTGATCCATGTCCAGACCCAGATGATGCTTGCCCTGGGCATGGCCAGCGCGCAGTTCGGAGATCAGTTGGGCCGAATCAAAGCCAGCATTATCGGCAATAGCTGTGGGTAGTGACAGCAGGGCACCTGAAAAAACCGCGCCGTTAATAAAATTCTAGCTGCAATTCAAGGGCAGAGCTTGTTTTCCTGTTCCACTTACGTGCGAAGGCCTCAATGGCAATAGCTTCCTTGCCGGCTGTTTCGGATGCCTTTTTGAAGACCGCATTGGCCATTAGAGCTTCGGAGCAGCCGCCGCCATAAATAATGCGCGACTCCTTGACAGTGGCTGCCAACACGCACAGCGCATCATGAAGGGAGCGATCAGCCTCGTCAAGGATCTGTTGTGTAGCGCCACGAATAACAACTGTACAGGCTTCGCCCAGCTTGACACCGCTGAAGCGCAGCAGTGTGTCCTCACCGATCATCACCTGCTCAATGAGCTGACACTCGCCGAGCTTGACCAAGGCGGGATTCTCAAATGTGGACACAATCTCGCCGCCGGTGCAGTAGGCTAAGCGCTCAATGCCATCAAAATCGGCATGTTCAATGGCCATCACTTGGGCATCAGCGAACAGCTGCTCAGGATAGTTATAGATCAGCTGGCGATTGATGAACACATTGCATTTGTGGCTCAGAATCTTATCAACTTTCTCCTTCATCTTCTCCTTTTCGGCCATCTCCAGATCGGCGATCTTGGACAATGAGTCCACTTTGATGCTGCTGCCAAATACTTTGATTTTGTCAGTGTCCATCGGCGTGTTGGCAATCAGAATCTTTGCGTTTTCAATCTGCACGAAATGCGAATCAAACATTTAAGCGTTACATATGGTGTTCATTAACGACCATTGGTATTTTCGCACAAACACAAAGTATATAGGGGATATCCTTTCGTCCATCTGTCCGTTTCTATATACCTATGATGGATCTGTGTATGGATCTGTCCAGCCATTATTTGGGATAGGAGCAAGCAGCTAAGATCGGTTGCACCTCTAGCGCACAAGTGCTGCTCCCATTTCTCAGCCCACCTGCGTTTTGTTACTAGTTCTATTAAAGCTTGTATGGTTTAACTAAAGGTATAAGGTACATCTACTACATGTTTTTATTGATGTTTAAGTTTTGACATGCCGCGTGCGATATTGAGCAAATCCTTTTTGAATTTCTCATTATTGGTCGAATTGTCCTGAGCGGCGGCTGTGAATGCCTTCGAGGAATCTGTCTTGGTACGCCGTACTATTGTCTTCTTGTCTAACTTTATATTATTTCTAGTTACTATATCAAAATAGTTGCTGTCTTACCGGATGCTGTGACTAATTGATAACAATTCGTTTAATTTTCCTCTTTTGAAACTAGTTTCTTTGCTGTTAAAGCAATTTTGTACATTTTTCTCTAACTAGTACCAAAAAGTAAGCATTTGGCCATCTGTTCTATCTTTCATGGCAAACATTTGATTTCTTATTTTAACCATTGTCAAAAAAAAAAAACCCACACTTGCTATATGTTTGATATAGTATGATAATCCATGTAAGCACCTTTTGCTGATCTGAAAGCATGACTTTATCAAGCGAGCTCATAAAACCAAGCCTGATGTCAGCGTCTGAGTCTGAGTCACGTGGTCGACAACATAGGCTCGTCGTTTTGGTAATATTGAACTTAAACTATTTAACAAATTATAGAGAAGATTGTCGTATAGCTGATTGCAGTTTGTGGCTGCCACATCAAACTCGTCAAAATGGCTGTGATATGAATGGCAAATGCAACAACATAGCTCACAGTCATTTTGACGCGCCAATATGGAGCATTGGCAGCAGCGAGAGACACGCACACATTCGCATATTTATGAAGTGTATGAGTAATATGATTGTAAGTGTTTAGGGGGATTACTTACGCGCTGTGGCTGATGCACGCCGGGCTTCTTGTCCAGCAGAAAGCCGTCATCGAGGAACGAGTCGTCCAGTGTGCCGCCGGACTTTTTGATAATCTGTATGGACTTGAGTTCACCGGAGCCCTTAAGGCGCAGCACTGCATCGACGGCCAGATTGGCAAAGAAATCCTTATGCTGATGCAGGATCTTTGATGACAATGTGGTGCGTGCAATGTTGAGCAAATCCTTTTTGAATTTCTCATTATTGGCCGAATTGTCCTGAGCGGCGGCTGTGAGTGCGTCGAGAGCAACTTGAGCGGCCGTACGCCAGCCGGCCACAATGATCTGTGGATGCAGCTTCTGTTCAACCAGTTTCTCAGCCTCGCGCAACAATTCGGATGCGAGCACAGTCACGGATGTGGTGCCATCGCCAACCTCTTCGTCTTGTACACGCGACATATCGACCAGAATTTTAGCAGCTGGGTTATCAACGCCAATGGCGCGTAAAATTGTGGCACCATCGTTGGTAACCTCCACTTGCCCGGCATTACGACCGGTGGACACCAAGATTTTGTCCATGCCCTTTGGTCCCAGGGTACTCTTTACAAGATCTCCGATGGCAATGGCACCAATAAACGACGACAGACGCGCCATTTCGGCTTTCTCCTCCTGCGCCTCATTTTTGAGTATACGCACGGGATTCAAAGACATCTCCTATTGACCAAAACAAATATAACATTCAAATTGTATTTTGTTTATGCACAAGCTTCATGTATGTATGTATGTATGTATGCAGAAATGCTTGTGTGTAAGAGCTGTGCACCTATTGCATCGGACCTAACCCCAAATAGTGCGTGATTCATCGTCAGCCAAGCGCAGCACACACCCAGCAGCATGCATCTGAAAATGTCTGTTCACATGCCTTAATTGAGGTATTATGTTTGCTTTTTGAATAGACATATTCGAAAATGCTTAAATACAAATGTAAACATAATGGATGTTTCTGGAAGCAATGCCTTCTCACGTGTGTGCAGGCTTGTCAAATAGCTTGGGGCTGCAGTCTTTGTGCGTGCGGCTTTTCACACCCGGCAAATGAAAACGGATGTTTGTATGAAATTATCAATGAAAATATGAATATTTTACTACACTTGCATCAATTGTGCTGTTAATTAATTATATTGGGTATGCGATTTATTTTAATTTACCATTTTTAATGCTTATTCACAAGTTTTTGATCACAGAATTCAGAATACCCCACAGCGCGACAAAGCGACAAAGAAAATGGCGAACTAGTAGTTATGGTTGTTGATGTCGTATCGATATATCGATATTTGAGAAAATCAACTCGCAACATATCGGTCAAATGTCTAGCTTACACGATGTATTCGATATTATTATTTGAGCGGCAGTTTTAAATTGCGTGTTTAAAAATATGTATATAAAAAACCAACTGACACTGCACATAATAAACAACTAGACAATTCATGTATAAATCTTTATTTTATTGATAACCTATTAACAAATGAATAAAAAGTACTTTTCTTTGTTTTTAATATAATTGTATCTTTGTATATAGAAATTTTAACTGTTTTCCAAAACGTTTTATTGCTTTAGTTTCTTTTGAATTATAAATAGATGAACAAATTTAAGTCTAGGTACTACACACACATCATCTTAATAATTAACGAGCATCTGTATTTAGTACTCAACCAAAAATATTTGAGTACAAGCTGTTCAGCCCATTGCTGATGGTCGAAAAGATGCCATTCTCAGTGGATGCGGCTGCGGCGTAGGGCGGGGGGCCGCCTGGCCTATAATGCTGGGGTGCTTGCATGGGCCGGTAGTACGAGGGCCCGCCAGCTCCAACTCCCTCAACGCGCTGTGAATAGTAGGCGAATGTGGTTAATGCACTGTTTTGGGTCTGTAAGCAGTTGATATTCTAACTCCATGTTTATTGTCCTCATTAAAAAGCCAAAAACCAGTATTAGATTTAATAATATTGACAACAAGAACAACGCTTAATTATATTATGAGTTTTATGTTGAACAAGTGAATTTTTTACGTAAATACATACATTTTACTCACACCAAAACCAAACAGAATAAAAAATACACTATATTATAGGAGAGTAATATAATAATTTGGCTAGTTGTGAGACTTTAATCCTAAGCTTTGGTCAAAAATTTAAAATTGTCATATCCATCATTCAAGTGCAATGCATTCATTCATTTCCCTCGACACTAGCGAAAGAATTTGTTATTCCTAGTTGGGGCTAAGTGGGCAAGCCTTAAGACTAAAGCACTCTGCGAATATTTACACGCGGGGCTGCTGTTGCTCCTGCGTTTTGGTGATTCTACTCGGTTGGTAAGTGTAGTTTATCTTTCACCAACCGGCGCTGGGTACGCGGCGTTGTGGCGCTAGTGGGAGCCACGGTGGCCACAGTGGCGACGGTGGCGACGGTGGCGACGGGCGCAACAATATACTGCGAAAGGATTACGTATGCACCAGGTTACAGATTTTGGGTTAGATTATTAGCCAGCACCAGAAGAGGATTATAAATGAGATTTAGTGGAACGAAACTTACCTTGGAGGCTTGCAGTGTCACATTGAGCAACGTGGGATGCTGCTCGACAATGACAAACTCCACTTCACGTGGCGCATAGCCCTCGGCAAATACCTAGCTCAGGCAAATAAAACAGATTCATGTGTGTGTCCCGGACAAATGGGTCTAACTTTTCACTCACCTCGGCCTTGTAGTAGCCCGGCAATAGTATGCGCCAGAATTCACCGTACTTGGTCGTCTGAAAGCCAACGTCGCGTCCCTTGATCTTGATTGAGGCTCGTTCAATGGGCATGCCCGCCGGATCGAAGACGAAGCCCTGTACACCGCGATGCGCCTCGGCCAGAAATTTGATCAGCGACTAGTATATTAGAGATTAGTATCCAGTTGGTCAGCAGCTAGGAGCGGCACTTACCAGTTGATTATCCTCCCAGTATTTCTTGAGCTCGTAGGCCGGCGGAAACTTGCAGCAGGAGATTTCCAGCGTGATCTCCATGCAGCCATACCAAACATAATTGTAATCCTGCATGCCACCGGTCAGTGGATACCAGGCGGCACCATTTGTGATTCCATTCTCAAAGGCGGGTGTTGCCGATTTGCATGCCACGCCCCTAGACATCTTGGCATGATTGCGGGCATAAACCAAGGATAAATGCTTAAAGACATCGTCGTCAGGCGTCAGTGACGGCGCTGCCGAATAGGTCTGAAACACTGCGCCCAAGGGACATGTGGTGCGACACAATACAAATCAAATAAACAGAGATAGCAATAGAGCAGGAGAGAGAGAGAGAGAGATAGAGAGAGAGATGGCGAGGGCGAGAAGAAGTTGAAAGATTAGATAAGTCGGCCAGTTGGGACGGCGTCTACTCACTGGCGCACAGGGCGGACGAACGGCAGATTCCTTTGAGCAGCCATATTGGTGCGAAGGCAAGGATTAAAGTTCAAACAGAGAGCGTTGCGGGAAAGATAACTTTATAAATCGGAACTCTCACAGATAGGCGAGGCCGAGCTTATTTTTCGATTGAATAGACCAACACCAATGGGCACGCACTCTTGAGACTACTTACTGGAGTTGGGCGTATTGTCGTAGGGGTAGCTGGCAACTAAGGCGCCACCATGCAGACTGCCACTCAGCACAAACTGGATCTTCGATATCCAGTCCTTGACGGCATCCGTTTCGGGCTGCCCGCGTTTATTGTTCTGCTTAAAGTAATCCGGGAAGTTGCGGTTCAGATCAAAGCCGCGCGCATTGTAACTGCAAGAAATGGAAGGAACGCTCAGGATGGCAAGGTTCACGGCAACACAATGATAGGGCAAAGAAAATCTTACCGTCCCTGGCCGCCATCACAGGTGCCCTCCTTGGATACCGCATAGCCATCGGGATTCATGGTGGGCAGTATGTGGATGCGTGTGTTATCCAGCAGCCATTTAACATACTGATCCGTGTTATAGCTGCTCACAAAGTACTGTATGAGATGCAATAGCATCTCTCGACCCACGGGCTCATTGCCATGTATATTGCCCACGTATTTGACATCCGGCTTGCCCACCATATGCTCATACGGCGATGAACTGACCACCATGACCCACAGATCCCTGCCCTGTATGGACTTGCCAATGGAGTACAGCGCTGTCAGATTGGGATATCGTGCACTCGTTGCTCTATCGGCAGAGACAACGATAATGTCCATTGATTATCGACGCCACCAGAGATTAATTAATGCCACTCACCTTAAGAATCGGGTGAGCTCCTCGTGATCATGATAAACAAAGTCCAGATTCTGGGCGTCGGGCAGATAGGCACGAGGCTCCGGCAGTGCCATTGACAACTGTTCGCTGGCGACTGTCTTGGCGCTGGAGAAGAACGTGTGCCGGGCGTACAAGAGCAGCAGCAGCACCTGTCCGGCAATCGTATTTCGCAAGATCATGCTGCTGGAATTGATGGCTGGGCTGGTCCGTTGCTGGTGACGTCAAGTCTGCAAATGTCGAGAGTGGCCAGCGAGGCTGTTGTTATAAGCAGATGAAGATGGATGAGCTCTTGCCGTTGGCATTGCTCTTGCTGTTGCTGTTGCTTTTGCTGTTGCTTTTGCTGTTAATGTTGCTGCTGGTGGACAGGCACAACAACCTGTTGTGGCTGACCAAAACGAATGGCCGCTCAAGGTACGTGCTTCAATTTGGCCAGCCCCGGCGGCAGCGTTGAGTGCATTGGCCCCACAATTCCCCCAACAGACGGTTTCCACCCATGCGAACTGCAAACGTGTTCCCCACAAACGCAATCAAAGTTCATTGATTTGTACTTGTCCAGCCGCACCAGCTTGAATTCCATTGAAATGGATCAATGGCTGGGCGGGGAGCGCTTCTGCTTGTCTAATCAGATACCAACCGGATGGGACGTAACTCATCAATGCTGCGATAAGATACTGCCCAAGAATATATACCATATGCACAGATATAAGTGAAAATTACTATCTATCTAACCTTGATACCCCGCAACGACTATAAAAGCTAGCCGCTTACCTCAATCTGGCCCATTATAAAATAATGAAATTCTCTGCTGCTTTTGTGTTGTTCGGCGCTCTCCTTGGCTGCTCCATGGCCAATGCTGGCCCCCAAGGCCGCATTGTTGGCGGCGAAGATGCCGTTTTGGGCCAGCTGCCCTATCAGGCGGCGCTCTCCATTGGCGGCAGCTACAACTGCGGAGCAGTCATCATTGCCGAACGCTATGCGCTCACTGCTCTGACCTGTGTATGCTCCGCCGGCAAGGATACACCGTAAGTAGCTAGCGATGGTTCCGTGCATTCTGGACACTAATTTGGCATTATATTCCGCATACAGATGGGCACCACAACTATTTATGGTTTCCGCTGGTACTGTGGATCTGTACAATGGCGGTCAGCGTATACGCGTTGAGGAAATCACAGTGAATCCCAACTATAAGGAACTAACGACTGGCATCGCTTTGCTGCGTCTCACCGAGCCACTGGTCTTCAATGCTGATGTTGCCGCCCTGCCATTGGCCACACAGAATCCACCATTGGGCGCCTACGTTGACATTTCCGGCTGGGGACGCACCAAGGAAACGGAAACGAACATGTACCGCACCCTGCAGGTTGGCTATGCCGTTGTGGAGTCGGAGCGTGAATGTCGCCTGGTCGATAATGCGCTCGTCGACAACGAACAGGTGCTCTGCCTGGGCCACCAGAGACGTCAAGGCATCTGCACCGGTGATATTGGCGGTCCCGCAGTCTATGATGGCACGCTGGTCGGCCTGGCCGCCCAGCTTTTGGGCGAGTGCGGTGGCCTATTGCCCGAACGCTTCATCAGCATTGCCGCTTATTACGAATGGATCCAACAGCAGATGGAATAACCTAATGTTCCTTTCTCAATAAAGACTATTCCCGAATGCAGCCCATATTTTCTTCTTTATATCAGTTATTAAATACTCTTTAGAAAGCCTGCCGCCATTCAAAGTTCGTTCCAAACTATTCGCTATCGACACACAAATTTGTCATAGTCAAAATATTTACCTCCACTTTAGTGTGGCACGATTTTCAATTGGTCTACTTGAGATTAGCCCATGCCACACGTTTCATCGTTGGCCCATCTCTTCCACTTCACACAGTCAGCCATGCATAAAAGGCCATACTCGCAGCTGGCCAGACGGTCTGAACTCCCTAACGATCTTATTGGGTGCAAAGCTAGGAAGAATTCTCCAGCCAACTCCAAACCTGTGTACCTTAATACATCCTAAGTATTTACTTATGGTATATACAGGCTAGGCTAAGTTTTAATTCCTTCAAAACAAACATTTACCGCCCATGGGAAACTTTAATCTACGCGTACTATCTTGAACACCACGTCTACTCAGATTATATATTGACACCTTGGTTAATAGGGTATATTGGTTTTGAGCCAATGTATGTAACAGTTAGAAGGAAGCATTACTGACTCCTTACGGTATATATGTGTCAGAATCTATAAGTTTCAAGGAGTCGGCATGAACACTATCCAAGAGCAGAAACCGACAGTCAGATACTCTATATTAAGGTAACAACTAATTCAGGCTTTGCCTGAGCAAATTATATAAAATTCAGTTGCAAATCAGTTTTCTTGTATTGTTCTTATCTAGAGTGTTGCAAATTTGATACTTTTGCAGAGGATCGTCGTTAATGGATAAAAGGGATTGACCTGGACATTCTCTCCAGGCCAGATGCCATATCAATGTTTGAATATACCAAATTTCCAGCCGTTTGGGTATTTAGTAGATCACTCACACGATCCAGCTTGATCCTAAATTAGGTATCGAGCAGCGATGAAATTTTATTTTTTAGAATCTTATATGACTATCATATCATAGAAAGCCTTTGTGTTGGCACATTCGTGTCATGCATACGTCGTGGAGCTGACTGCGGATCGATCGCATTGATGGGTTCAACTGTTTTACATATTAGCCTTAATCCAGTCTAGGTAATGGGCGACATTCATAAATCCATTGGGCAGAGAGCTGCCACAAACGTCAGCATAGAAGCCGCCAATGGCAACCAGCTCGTCCTTATAGACAGCCGGCGCACCGGCATCGCCCTGACATATGCCGTCGGAGGCCGTCTCTGATGCTGACGTCAGGCACAAGAGTCCCTCGTCATCTATATACAGCTGCTTCTGGCAGTCGGCTGCACTAATTGCCTGGCGGCTGCCCACCAGCAGACGTTGGCTAAGCGCGCCCTGATTGCGTATGGCACCCCAGCCGGTGTAGGTGATCTCCGCGCCGGCGGGTGGCGCTTCGCTGGCCAGGGCAATGGGCTGTGTATTGGCATTCAGCGTCAGGGCCTGCTCGAGCACAACCAAAGCCAGATCATTGAGTCCATTCGCATAGTCCTTGTGCACTATTATGCGCGCCACCTGGGCCAGCTGACCGCCAGCCACACGCTGAATGCTGCCCGCGCGCACCAAGAAACTGCGTGCCGGATAGCTACGGGCAGTACAGGGAATCAATACATCATCATATAATCAAAAGACTTGCCACATGCTCGGCTACCTTTCAATGCCGCCGATGGTGACGCAATGAGCGGCGGTCAGGCAGACCTTGTTGCTGATCAGAGCGGCTCCACAGACATGGGCGCCATTACGCTGCAGCGACACGCTGTAGGGATGGGAGCCAACAGCGGCCGCCTGGCCATCCAGTAGTCGGCCCTTCTGTGCCGCCACAGAGCTCACAGCTGCGCCGAGCAGCAGGAATAGCAGGCAAACATTATGAACTGGCCGCATTTTGGGTTCAATTTAAACTAATTGAGGCCGGCCTCGGCCCGAAGACTTTTATACAGGCGCCACAATTTTTATGACCGCCAATCTAATCGCTAGCGACCAGGTCACATTAAATGCTTATCGTGGCTGCAGATTAGATGCAGACCGAAGTGCCAAGCGGCTTAGCCAACGAGCGGCGATTTAGTTACCATTTTGACGCGATGATAGATCAACGCATGTCGCTGGCAGCGCTTTCTCTGGCCCTGACCCTGGCTCTGGCTGCGGCCCTGCCGCAGGGACGTCTGCTTGGCGGCGAGGATGCCAAGGCGGCTGAGTTTCCCTATGTCGCATCGCTGCGTCTGAACAAGGCGCACGTGTGCCAAGCCGCCATCATATCCCAGACACAAATGCTGACCGCCGCCCACTGTGTGTCCGATGTGGGCGCCAATCCGTAAGTACAGTACGGCTAGGCTGAGCCCTAAGACAATCAAGCTTGAATACGGCGAGGAGTTGAACCTGAAACCAGTCAAAATGGGGAGAAAAAGTCTCTACGACTGAGTTTATTTCGAATCAACGATAGCGAGCCCCGTTTTAATGAAATCGATCATCGATACTTATCGATTTTTGACTTTTCGGAGCTTATCTTGGAACCTCTAAGATCTAGCTGCTCTCTCTCTCTCAGTTCCATTACTGTAGGGAATTTCTGAGCTTGGGCTTAGCTATCGAAAATGTTGCTTTCTTAGTTCGATCGAGTGCACCAGTTGTGGGGGCTTTTCAGCCCACGGAACCCTTCTGAAACCAAGTCCAGTTTAAATTCACATTTCTCTTTCTCTCTCTCTCTCTCTCTCTCTCTCTCTCTCTCTCTCTCTCTCTGTCCCCCCTCTCTTTGACAGCGTTTCGGCTAGCGATCTGAGCGCTCGCGTGGGCAGCATCAATCAGTTTGCTGGCGGGGAACTAGTGGACATCAGCGAGGTGCTCATCCATCCCTCGTATGGCAACTTTCTGCATGATCTGGCCATACTGACGCTCAGCAAGCCACTGACCTTCGGCGAGAAGGTGAACAAAATTGAGCTGCCCGCGGCACCAGAGGAGGGCAGCAGCGAAGTGGATGCGGAGGAGCAGCCGCCAAATGGCACGCCCGTCTATGTGGCTGGTTGGGGCGAGCAGGCGGACGGTTCATCCAACTACAAGCTACAGAAGTCCAACCTGAACACTTTGAGCAAATCCCAATGTGAACTATCCGCTGGCTATGGTTACGACTCTGTGCTGTGCCTGTCCAGAGCCGAGAAGCAGGGCGTTTGCCGCGGCGACGCTGGCGCCGCTGTCGTTGATGACGACAATGTGTTATTGGGCGTGGTTAGCTTCTTCTGGGGCAACTGCGGCACCATTTATCCCGACGTGTCCACCCGCATCTCTTACTATATCAGCTGGATTGAGGCCAATAAGAAGTAATGCAGCAGCTACGAAATCATAAACCCTTTATTTTTTTTTTTGTTGATATTTTTTTCTTGTGCAATAAGCTGAGTGGAGTGTAAAAAAAAAACAAAAACAAAAACAAAGAAGTGTAGCGCGTGGTTATTTTTTTTTTTCTATTGCCAATTTACGATAATTTTATGGGCTTTGGGCTGGACGGGCATTACGTATGTGAAAACTAAACAATGTCCAATCCATTTATAAGGCCCCATAAATTCCAGTTGGCCATATCAGAAGGTAACTAACGGCCAACCGATTGTATCGTATCGTACATATGTATGTATGTTCTATATGGGTATATAGATAGCGTTAGTTTACTGCAAATTGGATCGAACAAAGGTGCCGTATTTTTCGAGCCACTCGAATTGATAGCATGCGATCCACTGATATAGCCAATTTCGATTTCGCGGAAAAAGAGAGACAACCTACCATCTATAGATTTAAGAGAATGATCAGTTGCCAAATTTCGAGTCATCGATTACTCACTGTTCCACGCAGTATCTATTTGGCGATTTCCAATTGTATATGGTATTTATGCCTGATCACAAAATTGAAAAGGCAAATAATGTTAGATTATAAACAGATCAAATTTTAGTTTTGCCCGAAATATTAAGTGAGACCTTGATAGATTACAATAAAGTTGATCATATGTAAAGTTTTTCTTCCTTTTTTTCTTTCCCCACTAGTTAATAAAAATATTCGAAAATTCACGCATAAAATATATTGTTCTATCATCTATCCAAAGTTTGCCTGATCGTTTTGTTTGTGCTCCGACTATATATATATATATAACATAAGTGGTTCGGTTCACGGCTTGAACCAACTGAATACCTTTAGGTTCGGGTCGTTAAACTGGCCTTTATATTTTGATTTAAACGACTTATGAAGAATATATACCATATGTTTGCTTGGGTTTGGCTCGGCTGTTTTTTGAGTAACTGATTTGGTTGAAAGTTTGGTTAGTAGTAAAAGGCTCGAAACGGTTCGAATCAATACGATTTACCTAGGCAAAAACATTCTAAAACTCATATTATGCTTAAAGACTGCATGATAAATATGTAATCCTATTTATCCCAGTCCTATTTTGAGTCATCGGCCCTCTGGCCTATCTATTGACTGATGTCACTTTTAAAATCGACAACCCACCTGCCCCCGTGCTGCCCTCCTTTATATTGGCCAATAATATGGCGAATTTATTGCCAGAATAATAACAATAACAGTTGAAATTAGCTGCTGACCATGATAAGATTAGATTTAGTGGCCAGCCAAAACCCATACGATAAGTCGCCAAAGCGGGCAAAGGCTTCCCATTGAGCTCTTCACTTGGCGGCATTTGCGCTGCGCATTCAGAAACGACTTCAACAGGCCCGAGCAGCCGAGTTTGCCGAGTTTGAAAAGTATATTTGGAATAGGAACAGTTGGCAGCTAAAGATGAACATCATGCAAACACTGGGCGCCCTGCTGCTGCTGCTTGGATTGGCCACAGCCATCGAGGGCGCACCCCAGGGGCGCATTCTGGGCGGCGAGGAGGCGCTGACCACGGCGGCACCTTACGCAGTCTCCCTGCGCATCGACAATGCGCACGTGTGCGGAGCCAGCATCCTGTCAGAGACACAGCTGCTGACCGCCGCCCATTGCGTCTATCGGGATGGCAAACAGTAAGTCCGACAAACGCTTGCTGTGCTCAAGTTAAACTAACATCATTTCTGGACTCTCGCTAGGATCGATGTCAGCCGCTTGTCGTGTCGCGTGGGCAGCACCAATCAATACGCGGGTGGTCGTATTGTTACCGTTGCTGCCGTCACGCCACATCCGGACTACAATAAGCTGGACAACAATCTGGCGATCATAACGCTGAGCAGTCCGCTTGTGTTCACCGAACGCATCCAACCCATTGAGCTGGTCGATCAGAGCGAGCCGCTGCCCGAGGATGGCGCTGTGGTCAGCGTAGCTGGCTGGGGCACCACAGTCGATGGCATTGCCTCCTTTAAGATACGTCAGCTGGACTTGCAGCTAGCCACGAGCGCGGCTTGCCTGGATGCGTACAGTGAGCTTGAAGCTAGCAAAGGCTTCTGCCTGGCCCATGCCCTCAAGGAGGGCACCTGCTATGGCGACGGCGGCGGCGCAGCTGTCTACCAGGGCAAGCTGCTGGGCGTTAGTAATTTTGTGGTGGGCGCCTGCGGTTCACGGTATCCGGACGTCTTTGTGCGCATTTCCGGCTACCATGACTGGCTGCTGCAGCAGCTCCAGAATTAACTTAACCAAGCCCAAGCCCAATCGATACAAAGATCAAATACATGCCTATATATAACCCCAAGATATATTGAAGATGTTAAACGATGTTTGGATATACTTTTCTTTTACCGATCAATTAATAACATGATAAGTGTACTTTAATAGCGCTCATCTTCCGAGCACTATGATGTATTAAACTAACATATATACATATAACCACACGCTTTAATTTCAATCGAATTTTATGTTCAAGCACATGTAAGAGTCATAGCTAGAAAACTAAATTTCTCAATTTGCCAATTCCACCAACAAAAGTGAAAAATAGGTGATTTTCTTCGCTTATCTGGAAATTGGCACGCCATGGACGGAAAATGGAAAGCCAGTACATGGTTCTATATAAAACCAAGTAAATACCAGCTACCACCCCCATATAGATAACATATGTGTATACACTTTGGTAGATAAAAACTTTTCGCATGAGATTTGTCTTGAAAACCCATTTTAATAACATTTCTGAGCAGTTTTTAATGATTTAATTTTCTAGAAATATATTATCGTATATATAAAAAGTTTTCAGTTTGAAATTTACGGATAGAATTTTGAGGATTGTAGTGAAATATAGTCTAGTGTACATATAGTATATAGTATAGTATACATATAGTCCAATGTCCATAGACGTATGCATGACTAAGTCAAATCGACTTAATATATTTTTGCAATCAATTTCATAAAGTCAGCTCATAATTTGGAAATCACAATTTGGCACTACGCTATATTTATTTATAGAGTCCATAAATAAACTCCCGTAATCAGAAGGCCTTAGATCTGATCAGACAACACAAAAGATATAGTAGATTTAATACTGCTCATTCATTCATTCCTATGGCAGATTTATAATACATACTATATGTTGTCAAACCGACTGATTCCGACAATAGCTTTAAGACTACGAGACCCGTATGTATAGAAAGAGATTGATATGGATATGGTTATAGCGCCTTGGCTGTTGATACTGACCAAGAATATATACTAGATGGGGTCAGAGATGCGTCTTTCTCTGCTTTTTCTGACAAACTAATAATGCTCTCAGGTAAGTGAAGCCCTCATACACAGCGACAAGAGCAGGAAACGGGATACAAATACAGATTGTCATTTTTATGACAAGCAATTGAATCGTTGATCATTTAATTGGGTTTTCTACTTGTAAAGATTTGGTTATAGTTAGCCAATCCTTATCTTTTTAAACAGCTCTAAACTGAGCTCTGTTAAATGTTTGTTTACATCGAGACAAGGTCAAGAACAAACAATCATCGGATTTGAGATCACGAGAACATGATTTGAAATCTAAACCTATGCAATATACCCCATTTGAATCATTGTCAAGGAGTACATGCTGCAAGACCAACAAATATTTGATTTAAAAATACATTTTAATTACGTTTCTTCCGATTTGGGGTTTACGGAGGACAAAGTAATTAAAGAAAAGATCCCTCAGATCCCTCAAGGCTGTCGTCTGGGAAAATCTAGATTATACTGAAGTATTTATGAAAAGCCATAAACAGTAAGTACTAGCTAACTTATGAAGCACAAAATTGATCTATAATCAATTGCAGAGAGATTTTTACATTGATAAGATGTTATGTGGAGGGCCTTCGATTTACCCAGAATTCAAGCAAAACTCCCATAATATATCACAGCTGAAAAGCCAAGCAGTAAAAATTAAATTTATTGCTAGGGGTAAACCCCTTCATGGTTAAGGTCTAACAATCAGCGATAGTTAGACGGATTACCTCGATTTCAATGCCCTTGCTGAGGATATTATAATTCTTTTACAATGCATGTAACAGGGAGAGGGAGACTTATCTGATACGAAAAACGAGATAGTCCTTAGAATCATCCAAATCAATTTACTATTTAAGAAAGCTGACATCAGAATAGACGAAAAATAAGTATGAAAAACTTTTTTGTTTTCCAAGATATTATTATCACACTCGGCATTTGAGAGCTTTACTAGATCTCTTATAAGTAGATGACCAAAATATTATCAACATTGGACGACTATAACATAAAACTCTTTGCGAAAAATGGATGAGATTTTGAGCAACTTTTCTGTTTTAACTTGATATATACAACGTAGATGGTTTGCTTTTCTTCCAATATAACTGCAAATCGAACTACTATATCAAATGCTCCCCATGTTCCAATCCAATCAAACTCTCGATGTAAGCCCGTCCACAAGGGTATTTAATCTTCGGCGTGCCGTTCTTTCATATTTGATTTTCATTGATTTTGTTAAGTTATTTAACTAATTTCGAAACGGTAATAACAGGGCCTATCAATGATTCGCAGCACTTAATCTTAATCGATGGAATTGTCCGATGTGCAGGGCGAAGCCCAAATCGCTGCTCAAGTGCTCAAGGAGGGAGCCATTCGGATTGAACGATAAGATATAGACATAAGGCAGCATTCATGGCATAAATAGGCCAACTAATCCGCTTGCATTTGGCACTTGAAAAAACTTAGCCATGCTGAGAACTCTGATATTTGTCTGTGCGGCTCTAGCACTGGTCTCGGCCGCTCCACGGTCGCTGCAGGGACGCGTAGTTGGTGGTGCGGATGCGACAATTGGACAGTTCCCGCATCAGATCTCGTTGCGCTACACGGGCTCACATATTTGCGGCGGCTCCATAATTTCACGGGAATACATACTAACCGCAGCGCACTGCGTCACCGATGAATTGGCCAATGGCACAATAGTGGTGTGAGTAGTCCAAATCCTTAGCTATCCCACATAATCCCAATCCGTGCAATCTAATCCACACAGCACATCGGCCAGCGTGCTGAGCATCCGCGCCGGCAGCCTAGATCGCTTCAGTGGGGGCATGCTGGTCAATGTGGCGGAAGTGCTTGTGCACGAGGATTACAACAGCTTTTGGAATGATATGGCGCTGCTGAGACTGGAGAAGTCGCTCGTGTATTCCAGCCAGATACGCGCCATACCACTGGCCAGCGTGGAGACACCTGTGGCCAGCCAGGTGATCATCTCCGGCTGGGGCCTGCTTAGCACCAATGGCGATCTGCCCCGCCAGATGCAGTGGAACACGCTCAGCTCCATATCGAGGCTCAGCTGCATCACCGCCATCGGCGTCTACAGGGAGAGCATGCTCTGCCTGGCGCACGAGCAGGGCAACGGCGCCTGCAATGGCGACTCTGGCGGCCCGGCCATTTTTGACGGCGAACTCGTTGGCGTTGCTGGCTTCGTCGTTGATGGCTGCGGCTCCGCCAATCCCGATGGCTATGCCAAGGTATTCTACCATCGCGAATGGATTATCAAGCATGCCCATTTGTAAATCAATAGACGAATAAACTCATTCAACAGTTGAGTTCAGCACTGTTCATAGAAATTTGTTTGTATCTGCAAGGGCTTTTAGGTTTGACTATCCTAAATATAGGTTTCCCGCTCCCGCTCGCTTTTATGATCTTGGAGAGTCTTGTAAGACAACATTTCTCATTTTGGCTTGACAGCAATAAATATTGAAATTTACAAAGCGGATAAATGTGCTAATCCTTATTGCAACAAGTATTAACAGAGACTCCAACCGAAATGTTGATCAGCGAAACCTCTTCAGGGAAATCTCTTAATAGACTTTCCATTTGTGTATTCAATGCGCCAATTTGATTATCATTGTAAGTTTTTGCAAGGCAGATAAACTGCCTTGTAGCCTTTTACAAGCAGTTTTAGTTAACATGAACATGATTTGATAAAAAAAAAGACTGCAACACTTGCTTTAACTCTATTTCAAACTTAAAATAAACATCAGTCAAGGAATATTTTACTAGACTTAAGTTGAGTATAAAAAGAAATGAAGGCAAGTCCGATAAAAGCAAACAAGATTATGTAATTGATTGATCATTTCAGTTTTTCTATTGAGTTGTACAAAGATTGGACTTTAGTCCAGAGGCTTTGCCGCGTGATGTGTCGAAAAAAGCGCCTGCCTTTAGATTGGAATTGGATTACAGGAGCTAAGCGAGAACTGCAAGGGAAAACACTTTCCACAATTTAAGAATCAGCCGTTCCAAAGAGATATTGATGGGGCTTCGTAGATGTTCGATACTATGTGATGCATAGCAATGTGCGGCTGAGAGCACGTGTCTGGATAGCTTGACGGTCTTTTGGGTAATTAAGGTGCCGTCATTTGCGAGCCAGATAAGCGCCATAGAACCCGGCCAGAAATGAGACATCTAAAGGGGCTTTTTGACTGGGCCGATTGAAGGGACTGTTGATGATAATGATGATGATGATGGGCTGCGAGCCGTGCGCGCGCGATTGCCATAAAAGAGCAGAACACTGTGCCGTTGCCCACACATGCCAAACGGAAAGTCAAGCCAATGGAGCTGCTAACAAACCTATTGATACTGCTGCTGAGCGGATTGGCGCTGTGCGCAGTGAAAGAAACAACCAGGCAGCCGGTGGTCTCCATACGGCCGCGCATTGTGGGCGGCAGGCGTGCCCAGGCGGGTCAGTTCAAGCATCAGGTGTCGTTGCGCTACTTTGGCAATCACATTTGCGGCGGATCCATCATATCGCCCGTTTATGTGCTGACTGCGGCGCACTGCGTCAAGTTCGGTCAGGATGTGTAAGTGCATCACTACAAGTTTCTCTTCCTCTAAGAACCTTGGCTCACCTAAGAACCCCAACACTACAGCACAGCCCCATCCAGGCTGGCGGTGCAAGCGGGCAGCCTGCAGCTCAACAGCTATGCAACCTATGTGGATGTGGCGGCTGTCCAGGTGCATCCGCAATACGGTAATGGCGGACAGGGCTACGATATTGCCGTGCTGCGTCTGCGTGAGCCGATCAGCTTCAATGCGAATATCTCGGCCATCGAGCTGGCCGAAACGGATCCGCCGACCAATTCGATTGTGGATATTTCTGGTTGGGGCGCCATCTACCACGGCGGGCCCATCTCCAACGATCTGCTCTATGTGCAAGTGCGCAGCATTTCCCGTTCCCAATGCACCAGCCGCTACATGACCCGCCTGCCGGAGACGACCATGTGCCTGCTGCATGGCGCCAATCTGGGCGCCTGCCATGGCGACTCTGGTGGACCAGCTGTCTATGGGGGCCGTCTCGTCGGCGTCGCCAGTTTTGTGTTGGGCGGCTGCGGCCGCGAGGCCCCCGATGGCTATGAACGCGTCGCCGCCTTGCGCAGCTGGATAAGGAGCAATGCAGAGCTTGTAGGGCATCCAAACTAAACGAGTCTAACAGCGTCTAAAACCATTTGTTTTTTTTTTTAGCAGCTTGCGCATTCTTAAATAAAATATTGATTGAGCTGAAGAATTACCTGTAATTCTGAATTTGTGCAATTAAAAAAACAAAGCAAAGCACTGACGACCCCTTTCAAATTTTTGTAGGGTATAATATACTATTCCTCCGTCAGCAATTGTCAAATGAGAACTGACTGAACGACTGATTGATTGACTGATTGAATGGTGGTGAGGGCGAGATCATTTCTGACGCTAGACAGGGTTTCGGGAAATTCCACCCGCATGTGTGGAACAAACGTGAAAAACGTTTGTATGAAACTTTTTTGTTTACCATCCGATCGGCTTTAAGCTGATTTTCAAAGATCTTTGTTCAAATTCATTTGAGAGATGCTTCTCACACTTTAAGAAAATCCATTCCTCCTTGATGTATATGGGAGTCCAAGATGTGCTGTGTGACCTTTGGCGCTCACACTTTTCGCGGAATCCAAGTCCCCTTGGTAGAAATGCGAATTGAAGATTTTTTAACCGATTTGCATTAAACCTATGCGTGTTTCAGCGATTTGGGAAAATCCGCCTGCATCAGTTGTAAATTAACGTCCGATCAGTTTCAAATTTAAGAAGGGGCCACGGGCAAGGCCGGGTTATACCCGCTAGCATACTAAGTATATAATGCTAATGAGACAAGCTAGGCAGTTCTGTCCGTGGGAGCTCCTTGATAATAAAGCTTTTTGACGCTCCGTTAATATATAATATTATATGAGCCTAGAATTTTAGATATATCTCTTTGGTATATAGAAGCATTGACACATTCGCCAAATTCCACAAGGGAGACTGTTGAATCACGAACAATTGCAATTGGAACACATTTAATACCCAGGTATACCGATTTTATTTAGTTGATTTCCACAAATATGTCGATTAACTTCAAAATCGGTTTGATTTTGTGATAGGTTTCGAGCTCTGATAAAGAGCATTGCGCAGTCGGTTATTGCCAAAATTTGGTAAAAGATCGATTGATAGATTCTTTGGGCACCGCCCCTTGAAATCGCTTTGATCGATATCTTTCACAGTTTTAGAGCTAGAGTAACCAAAATAAGAATCAAGACTAACAAAGATCCTCTCTATAGATCAATTCGAAGCTATTTAACCCACGTTACCGGAGAAATCAATAGCTCCCCATTTATTCAGCTAGTTGCCGCATTTGGGTAATTATTGAGCATTACGCAGTCGGTTGCATCCGACTGAAACATTTGCACTCGTTTTAAATTACTTTTGACAATAAAATGAAAAGATTAACTATAAACGGTTTGAATTGGATGACAAGTTTTCGTGAAATTCGTTCTGTCAATGTGAATCACGGCTTTCCAACTTCCGCTTGCGTTTTGCCAGTTGTGTCAAATTGAAAGCTCAGGTTCTCGCTTATTGTATTTGTCTGGGTTAACAGAGCGTGGCTGGCTAACCATTAACTCGACCCTTTGACCCGGACCCCGATATAGAGAGTCGCATACGTTGACACCAAACAGCAGCAACCACTTCAATTGGCGACCACCGACCCCGCATTATGGTATATCCATAGGCCGCAATTTGTGTGTCTGCCAGTGAAAGTGAAAACTTGAGTTTTGCTGTTTTTCAGTAATTTTCCGTTTCGTTTTTTTTTTTTCTGTTTGTTATTTCCTTTGGTTTTTTCGTGTGTTTTTGTTTTTCATGAAATTTTCAGCTATTCGTTTTACTGGCATTACAAGCCACTTAGTCAGGCGCCGCCCCCTTCTCGGTCCACGGTTTCTGCTTTGGTTTTCATTTAACTTGTCTCACACGTTTAAGTGCCGCTTTATCGTCGCTGGGCTTAGAGCTTTTTTCCCAGACCCCTCCCGCTGTCAGCGTCCCCAGTCCGTCCGCACTCCCGCAATTATCGTACGCCAGTTCAGCCGCATCTCAGTCAAGTGGAAAATGCGGCGTACCAGGCGATTGACGTGCTGCAAGTCATCGAACTCTGGCGTCGGGCGGTGCGCGCCGGCTGCTTATCGGCCATAGGCATAAAGCCAAGGTCCGTCCGTCCCTGACCCAAGCAGGAACTGTGCAAACAACACTGTCCAACAAAATATGACGCCAAGCAGCGTGATCACTTTCGTTTGGTATTCAGTTAAGTTTCAATCTGTGTGCTACAATTATTTTCAGCATTTTATTTTAATCAAAATATTGTCTTTGCTACGGTTTACGGTTCGAACCAGCTCGATAACCGGCTCGACTTAAAGCAAACCATTTGGCACAAGAGGTTCTAGTCGGGAGCTGAACCGTCTTCTTCCAACATCAAATGCATATATATATATTATATTTTGGAAGCTATATGTCAAGTTTGATGACTCTAGCTCTTATTATTTACCAAAATATCGATATCGATTCTTATCGATTGCTTGGAAACGTAAACAGTTATCGATTATCGGAAACAAACTCGATCTGCGCAGGCATTAGAAGCACCTACATCTAAAATTTCTCTAGCTCTTATAGATACTGAGATCCTTGCGTTCATACAAACGGACGGACGGACGGACAGACGGACGGACATGGCTAGAGCGACTCGGCTATTGATGCTGATCAAGAATATATATACTTTATGGGGTCGGAGATGCTTCCTTCTGCCTGTTACATACATTTGGATGTTGCACAAATACCCTTATACCCATTTTTAATGGGTTCAGGGTATAAAAAGCCTTTGGATTAGATTCAGGTGTCGGTTCGGCTTTTTTATTGAGTATGCGGGGTAAACGAAGAGGTTCAGCTTGTAGCCTTGATTGTGTTGTCCAAAAGAGATGGTGCCCTGATAATCTGGGCAAGCAGTAATTGATTTGGGTGCATTTTGAGTTGAGTCGCAATAACGAGGCAATTCGAGTAGGAAATTGTATGGAAAAACTTAATGCTGCCAATGCACTTGCTTCGACTTGTTTAGCGGCTGAGCCACCGAGGAGAGCCGCTCAATTTCACCTGTGCCACTTTGACGACGAAAACAAATTTCATGGATTTGGATTCGCATGTGACGCAGGTGGAGCTGCAAATGCCGTTGGTTTTGTCTCGATTGAATTTTGATTGCCATGGAAAGTAATCAAAATTGGAAGCGCAATTGCTGCACCACCCCCTGAGAGTCGTGCAGCCAAGTTGCAAGAAATGAAATGGAATGAGTGGCTTTTTTTTTTTTAAATGCATTTGGGATGAGTGACGGGCGGGTTGCGGGTTGCGGGTCGTAAAAGAAATCCCAAAAGCAAGCGACGATCAAGAGCACATGAGCACTTGATAACGGGTTTCGGAATCCGGCGCCGGCGTCGGCGTCGGCGTCAGCGTCAACAGCAGCAGAGAAAGAGTCGTTGCACAGACTAGAGACCAAAGAAGAGACCAGACGCCAGAGACCACGTTAACCCACTAACCTTATTACTGCTTCTGTCTGTACCCCCTTCTGTACCCCTTCAGCCCATGTTAATGTCTCTCTTTCTCTCTCATGGCTTGGTCGCATTGAAAGTTGCTGTCAAGTTCAATGCTGCGACTGCGGCGGCGACCATGACGGAAGCGTCTGCGTTAGCGTCATGACAGAGAAAGCCGAGCAAAAAGGACATGACGCGGAGAGAGTGACGTCGACAGCAGTCGACATGCGCAGTTGTTTACTGGGTTAGTAGTAGGAGTGTGTACACACACGTGTCTGTCTGCCAATCTGTGGGTGTGGGTGGCTTGCAGACTCTCGTTTATATAACAACAATAAACTGCATACTGTTGTTGGCGACGTCGCTTGCATTGACCTTCACCTTGGCACTGGCACTGGCACTGGCAGTGGCAATGGCAATGGCAACGTAGACGACGACCTTGCCTCTGCCTCTGCCACGGCCACGGTCAGGACGCGGTTAGCCTTGATCTTCAATGTGCACGTGCGCACACATTGGTTAAGTAAGATTCAGTTTTCTTTATTTTTTTGTTATCAATTAAATTACCTGTTCTGTGATTTATAATGGCCTGGTGCTTTTGTTATTCTTAATGATGCTGCTGCTGCGTCGTCAGCGTCAGTTTCAGCGGCGACAAAAGGCTGCAAAAGAATTTGCATAAAATACAATCAGCTTTAAATTCAACGTACGCTCTTGCCGGGCTTCAATTTCTTCGCACACTTTCTGTCGCCAAAAAACAAAAGTTAACCAAAAAAAAAAGAAACACAACAAACAATAATAAAAAAAAAAAAAAAAAAAACACAATGCAAATCAAAATTCTTGGGCGACAAAAAAGTTTCTCTTTGCGCCTACGCAATAGGCGGTTTAATTAGCACGCACCGCACACGCACTGAGGCCATAAAGCAACAATGGACAATGGGAATGGGAACGGGAGTACGAATGGGAATGAGAACAACAAAACAACAACAACAGTTAGTATAGCTTTAAGGAAGCGTCTTGAATTTTAGTCGTTGCTTCTTACTTTCGAGCAATGCGCTGCGAGTTTGGACGGAGCGAGAATGACAGACAGAGAGTGCCAGAGAGCAAGTATAACGCGTCCGTTAGCAAGCGCCGTTAAAGTTCGACTGACAGGCGTGTGCTTTAAGCCAGAGACATTGACGCTGACTTTGACGCTGGCAGAGCGGTAGCAGCAATAACAGCAGCAGCAGCAGCAGCAACAGCAGCAGCAGCATCGGGCGCATCCCAGTGCTAGTTCCGCCAATTGGTGGCAGAGAGCTTTGGCCGCTGCTTACGTTTCTACACAGCACAATTTTCACACCTTTGCTACATCGCATTCCCAAATTCACAGCCAAATTTATGCCCAGCTTAAGCAGGCATGTTTAAAATGCGCGGCTAAGTTTATAGCAAACAGCATACGCATGGCTGCATGCACAAAACAGTGTTGCTTACGCTGACATGGTGTTAACAGAATGATCGATTTATTCTTATTAGCAACGTTTAATTTGTTCTATATTGGATTGGCACTGTTTATGTAGATTCAAGGCGCCATTCAGAAGAGGAAAGGAAGGGAAATATTGCAAATACAAATATAACCTAGAATACATGTTCAAGTTTAACATTTTTTATATCTTATGCAAAGCATTTTACGTATTTTGAAATAGTTGTTCAGTTTAATGCAAATGTATCAGTTAGATCACGCGCGGGATATAAAATAATTTGACTTTTACAGAAATGCAAAAACGCTTTTTATTTCGATAGACTTACCTTTTCCCAAAGCCAATACATATTTTTATATTGTTTTATGGTAGCTGGGTTGTTTTCTCAGTGTAGAGTTGACTGCGCATTTTTTTAATTTAGATCGTACATGAATTGAAAGCAACAAGTTAAGAGCTCCAAAATGATAAATTAGGATTTTGTATAAATGCAATAAGAACAACTCTGTAAGCTGTTAGCCGCATTAATCGGTATATCGATAACCGAATATCGGTCCGGTTTACTGGCAACAACTGCAGGCAGTTCGCCGCTATTCGTATTTGTAGGCCAAACCTCCGATTGTGATGCAATTGTTGTTTTAGACGAGAAAGTGAAAGTCTTTGAAAGCATTACTCTCTATTGACAAACATATTAACTTGGTTGCTATCAAAACAACTTCACGCACTCCTCAGTGGAGAACTGACGCTAACGGAGCTGGAGCTGCTGCTGCTAGTGCTGCTGCTGCTGTTAGTGTAAGGCGTTCCAAAAGGTCAACGACAAGAAGAACAACAGCAACAAACACGGAAAACAACACGCGATCCAACGAGGTCCCATGTGCACGCGACTTAAAAGTTGCGCGCGTAACTGGGCCAGGCCAGTTTAACCTAAAAGCACGCACAATCCCAAAGTATTCCAGAGTGAACTGAGGCATGAATCGCCTCACGCCCACAGGATGGAGCATACTACCGTTTCGGGTCTCCACCACAACAAAAGTGAGTTGACTCTTCTGTGTTAAGTGTTATCAGTCAATAGTGGCATCGCTTTCAATTCCACGTGCAGGTTGTGCTCTTCTCGCTGACAGCTGGCGTTGCGTTGATGAGCGTCCTGTCGCGGTTTTTGCGGCGCCGGAAGCCGCCGCGTCCGATCCGACGCCCACGCAAGTACACTGGTCGGCGTACTCGGAACAGCATGCGAAGTCCCAACGATCTGACTTCAGTGGCCGGCTCAAAGGCATCAGCGCGGTCGGGCAGCCCCGTCGGCTCAACAGTCGCCTACTCGGATCGACTGTCACTGGCATCGGGCTCCATTGGCGCGGGCGCACAGAATCAGACCACGGTGGGCGGCATTGGCGCTGGCGTGGTACCACTGCTGACGGCCCAGCAGCTGGGAGTGATGGGCATGGAGGCGCTGGATACAGTAATCAACTTTTGGGAGGATGCGCTGGCAGCACACTATTCGCCCGGCGGCGTGCCTGCCTCGCTGACAACGGCCGAGGACTCGGAGTTCTGTCGCGAGATACAGAATTTGCTGGAAATGTCGTATACGCTGCAGGAGCAGAGCGAACTCCTTTTCCTTGATCAGCGCTCGGTGCTGTTTCGCGAGGAACATTCCATAGACGAGGCCGAGGAGGATGGAGGAGCTGCCGCCGGGGACGGTGATGATGATCGACACTCGCGCAAATCTGGCAGCGTGCTAAGCCGCGCCGGCTCCGATCCCAATTTCGATTCCGCAGAGAGCTTCGCCTCGGCCCTGGACCAAGTGGCCGATCTTCGCGAGTTTGACGGCTTCATTGAGACGGCGTATGAAGAGTATCCGTTGTTTCAGAGTGCGCTCAAACATCACGATGAATACACAGTGCCATGCCGGACGATACGCGCCGAATTAATGCATTGCAGCAGCGATACCGAATACTTGGCTAAGCTCCATTGCGTCCGACTCGCCTTTCAATATCTATTCAAGGATGCAGCCGTGGGCCAATGGATCTGCGATGCGGGCAGGCAAATACTGACAGATCTGCTGTGCCTGGGCGATAAGGACACCAAAGAGTTCCTCGTTGGCTACGAGGATATGGTCAACTTTCTGCATGAGCCCAGCAACTGGCCGTGCATTCAAATGGAACTGGAACAGCGAAACGTCAAGGCGATGACATTCTACGATATTTGCCTTGACTTTATCATACTGGACTCGTTTCGGGATTTGGATGCGCCACCAGCCAGTGTCACAGCTGTTGTACAAAATCGTTGGCTTTCTAATGGCTTCAAGGAAACGGTATGAAAAATCTGAAAGAAAAAAAATGGAATGAAATGTCACTTTGAATTAATACTGCTAACACTTAACAGCAGATTAACAGTAGTGAACATCAATAGGAGTGAGTTTTTAACACTGGCATTAACACTGAAAAACAGAAGAAGAAGCTTTACAATTGAATCTCGTAATTGTAATTGCCGTAATTGATCTGCTTAGCTACACAAAATGGAAAATTTATACATTTGACCTAACATTAGACAAGGCATGTCAAATGCGGTGCAATAAAAACACAACTCGTAGAGGCAACAAGAGAAAACTTTTGAACACCTCAATGCATAAGCATTTGTATTAAGTAAACAACGGCTCGAACTAAAGCCAAAGTGCATTGTCGTGAAGATAAGCAGAGTGCATTAAGCTTCACAGCGTTGCCACCTATCATAACAGAGTCTTCCTGCGTTTTGCATACACTCAATTGGTAAACGCAATATTTATATACAAAAAATTCTTTTTCTTCCTTCTAGGCGCTTACGACGGCTGTTTGGTCGGTGCTGAAAGCAAAGAAGCGTATGCTCAAATTTCAAAATGGATTTATGGCACACTTCTATGTCATATCGGAGCAGATATCGCCGCTGATGGCTTGGGGCTTTTTCGGACCCAACGAGAATCTGCGCGATATATGCCACTATTTTCGGGAGCAATTGCTTGCATTTTTGGCCGACATCTACAGCTTCCAGAAAAGTCGCTTCACCACCATCGAGGAGTTCTCGGAGGACGTGCTGAAGCACATGCAGACGCGCGTCAACAACATTGGCGTCAAGTTCAGTCAGTAGAAAGAGGACCAGAGAGGGAGAGAGAGAGGGGCAGAGAACGAGCATACGAGAGATATTCATGCAGGATGTTGATGAAATTGGGGACCCGGCCAAAGCTTCTGTTTATGTTTTGATGGCAATCAAATTTGAACTACTTTATGCCACATACGTGCATACGTTGACTAATTTTAAAGCCATTCACACGCACCCATACAGACATACACACACACACACACACACACACACACACACACACACACACACACACACACATGCACATTTATGATTAAGAATCGCATTAAAGTCGCCAAAAACATTTGTAAAATAAAACTGTTTACTGCCAGCAAAGCAAACCAGCTGCTGGCTAGTTGGCTCTGCCTCTTCTCCGACAATGGGGCATCTCCGATTGCAACAGCAGGTGGAGTGTATCCTCTTGCTTGGCGCGGCCAGTCGTTGCTGTCAACTCGTCGCTGCAAGATGTGCAAGGGTCTGGGCTTCAGCACCGGATTTGTGGCGCTCTGCGCATTCGTGAGTGAGACAGCTGCCAGTTGGAAGTACCCATATATATTTGTTCCAATGATAATGATGCATCGTTTTGCTGCAGATCTGCTGCTTTGGTGCGCTGCATATGCTCAACAAGATCGTGCACATCAACGAGGAGGTGGCACTGCGCACAGAGTACAAACTGCCGCCAGATGAGAGCGATCGCTGTCAGCGGACATTCATTGTGGACGGTGCAGGTAATGCGCACATCACCTGGCTGGAGCTGTTCTACATGAAATGGACGCTAGTGCTAACTATTTTCTATACATTCATTGTCATGGTGCTCATACGAGCTCAATACTTGAGTCACTTTGATATTAATTTCATTACCTCCAATGCGGTAAGCATCTCATTACGCTTACACTTGAAATCTATGCCCCATTACATTTTCGCCTCCACTCAGATGATGCTCGTTGGCGGCGTCCTCTCTGTGGTCCTGTTCATTGCCACTGTCATACTGCACGAGCGTATGCCCTTCATGGAGGTCTGGTGCAATGAGTTTATCGTTGGATTCATGTACTTCATAGCCATCAATATATGCGTGGCTGTCGTCTTTTTCCTCATCCACTCCTGTCAATATTATTTTCAATTGGAGGAGCGCGGCTTTTGAGGAAGAAGCTCTTTTCTATAACTGAGATTGAATGGGTTGAAAATGTTTCGAATTTAATATAAGGTAAATGACACTATTTTCAAGGCAAACTTATTCGCGCGAAATTAATCTGTAAATGTTCACAAATTAATTTATAAACATTTTTTATCATGCTCTATGAACATAATTGTTTTTGTTTTAGTTTCAGAATCGGTACGGCTTGATAATAAAGTAGTCCGATCTGATACACAGATATTACAGATATATAGGAAAAAGTTGTTCTCATAGGAATCCACTCAATTTGCTAATCTTCCTCAAACAGCAGAATCCGCCAAAAGAGTCTGGCGAGAATGTCCAATGCTTTAGTTAGTTTAGCGAAAATCGTAAATTAATCGCGTGCTTCTCCTTTTGGCAATGCCTGCACAAAAGTAGACACATTTTGTATAAAAAAAAACATATAGACACGTTTATTCGAATACAATATATGCTGTTTGGTATAAAAGACAGACAGTGAGATGAAAGTAAAAATAAAGAATAAAATGAGAATGTAACACAAAAAAATATGCAATAATAAAATTAATATATATATGTATATATATATATATATATGGATGTGGGTAATTAGGTAGTACGAGTGTGTAACACAATTTATTTAACAGTACAACAAAGAGACTCCTCTGTATGGCTTGTGCGGTAATTGACTATAGCTGTAGCTATATCCGATTCTGATTCTGATTCTGATGATCTGTTTGTGTTAGATTTCGATGCTCGTTTGCAAAATGCCAGCGATTGTGTCGCTTAAATGCCGCGATATGAGCGATGTGCCAGGAATGCGCTTATGAAGTAGAGCACCGTATTGACCAGGCCCAGGATTGGGGCCGCCATATAGGAATCATTCCTGCCATCGCGCAGCTTAATTAGCAGACAGACGGACGAGGCGAGCAGCAGTATGGCCGCAACACTATGATAGATCAGCTCCTGTAAATTCAAAAAATTTGTCAACATTTAGTTTTCGATTTCAGGTTCGGGCTTCAATTCAGCAGTCAAGCTAAGCACTTACATAGATTGTCTTGGCGATGAGCCCGCCCGTGCTCAGCGATGTGAGGCACGCAAGGAATAAACAAAATGTCCCTATCATAAATGTTGTGGCCATCAGGAAGTGGAACAAGTCCTGCTCTCCACGATAGTAGGGGCTGTCATGGAAGCGGATCGCCATCAGGGTCACCACAGCAATGCCGATGAGCTAGAAATGCCATTAACAAATGAAAAGGGTTCTTTAGCTGGGCCCAAGTGCAACTATCGTGAGACGTCACTTACCAGCTGGAAGAGCTTGAGTATACCCGGAAAGGTCTTGATGTAGCCCGTGTTGAGCACAATGTAGGAGGTGTTGGTGGTGCTGGTGGTGGTGCGTGTTATGGTCACGGAGTGCGACATCTTGGCGGCTACTAAGACGGTGGCTGGTTAAAGGTGGGTTGGTTGGGTCTAAAAATACAGTGGAGCGAGAAGAAAAACTATGACAATCAGACAAACGCACGATAATTAAGCACATGCATCAAATAAAATGAATAATAAAAATATATATAAAATCGTATTTCTCTACTCAAGATAATCCCTTTTACTGTCCACGAATAACGAAAACCATAATAATATTATTTTTAAATGATAATGTAAGAAGATTTACAGCTTCATATAGAAATGGAAAATCGGTTTCACCTTATAAGAAAGAGGCATATTGATTAATCCAAAAGTTTTTCGACAATTAAAAACAAATTCCATATTTTATATTTTTATATTTCGAGTATTGCAATTTTGAAACAAGTTTTTTACTAACTATAGATGTCAATTTTCTTTTCATGAAAATGAATTTCATTATTCCAAAACCTGTTCAGACAACTAAAAAAAAAATGATTGCATATAACAACATTTGATGAGATATCAAGATTTTATCAATTTTTTTTTTTACTTGATTGATATTTTAAACAAATTTTGCCTGTTTTCATATTGAAGGAATAATTATAATGTGAGAGCTTTCATAAGTGAAAAATATAATATATTTAGAAAATATGACTGCTCTTTGCTGCTAATTTTAAAAAATACCAGTTGGTTTCGTAACTAGATTTAAATACAAATATAAGGAAATATAATGAAATCTATTTAAATTTAGAGTATACAGTTTATTAAAGCTTTAATAAAGCTTTAATATCGTGTACCTCTTATAAAATCTGACTGGATCCACTTAAACCAATCGAAAATTTAAAAAAAAAATATATCATAATTGAATAATTGTTGATATTTTTGTAATCTGAATCCCAGACGAATTTCAATTGAACACTGCAAGTGCATATTTGCACAGTTGTTACACATCGTATGCCCTAGCCACGCCCATGCCCACACTGTTGTATTTTTGGCCATATAATTTGTTATTATTTTTTTCTAAAATTAAACATTTTCAATGCCGGCCTCGCTGAGCGCCAAATGTTATTGAAACAACGCAGGAGAAGCTAGATATTCGATTTACTGTCATACCGATCACTCTCTCTCTCTCTTTCTCTCTCTTGCCTTCTTCCTCTCTGACTGTAGAGAACACATCCATCCACAGACGTGTATGTATACAATACACATACAGGTCTGTATTTTAGATTGTGTTTGTCGTCTATAGCCGTACCGTGACGTCATGAGCTTTATGGCTGCTGCCTTTTGTGTTTCAGCAAAATATTTCGATGGAAACATGAATTTTCTGTTCATATATATACACATATATATATTTATATTTATATATATATATATAAATTTGTATGTATGTATATTCATAGGTTCATGTGTGGTTTATACATGCATGTGTCGATAAATTTTCGAAATGGGGGCGCGCGTTAAGGCGTGTGTGTGTGTGTGTGTTTGTGTGTGTGTGTGCGTTTTGGGCAAGTGTTGAGCGAGTGGAAGCAATAGGCGATTTCTTAAAGATCGACAAAATTATATGTATGTATACGTTTGCATATAGTATGAGTGCATACTTAGTTTGAAGAAGTGACATTGGCTTATCTGTACTCGATTCATACAGCTTTCCAGCAATTACAATTCTCATGGCTAATGGAGGCTATTTATGAAGAATCTGGCGCATTTCTTAACTCAACTGCAGGCTACTGAGTTGCTGCCTCATCTGCCACAAGGTCTCAATAGAGGGAAGCCATTAGTCAGACGCGCCTAGCCAAAATAATGACGCCATCCCAGCCAGAAAACTTCATTCATTCATTGCGATGACGTAACGACTTACAAACAATACGATTTGGAATTTCGAATTTCGGTTGCGATTCGAGCCCTACCCTCATTCGATTGGCAACGACAACAAGAAAAACAACAACAACGACAACAATCAAAACAAACCGAGCCACATTTTATGTTGATTAGTGAGCGGATTTCCGCTGTGCTCTCGCGGGTTGTCTTAAAAATGTGCTTTTAGTCTTTGGTTAACAACAATAACAATAACCAATAACAACAAAAAATGGGCAACAGGCGCCGGTTTTTTTTTTTTTTTTTTTTTTTTTTTTGAAAATGATATCATTTTTGAGCTATGTATGTAGGTACGTCTGAACGTGTGTGTGCCTTGAATAGTAACAAGCAATATCAAGCGAAGCTTTTGAACAAAAACCTTTAACAAATTGACAATTCTCCTGTGTATACAAATTGATTTTTGTTGCTAAATGAAAAACAATGAAACAACAAAATCAAATTGCGACAGTAAAACCTTTGTTATCAGAAACAAGCAAAAGAAAGTGAAGAAGACGATAACAGCATTTGCTGGTTGCATTTTGTGGCTGTTGTGTTTTTACTGCTGCTGCACGTTATGCGATTGGCACGCAATGAGATCATCGCTAGAAGGTCTGTTTTATTATTGACCCAATCAGTGAACCCAACCAACTCCTTGTAAAATTGATGTCATGCTTTTTATATAGTGCCACGCCCTGGAACTTGGCACTTGCCAATTTGTGTTTTAAAAATTCAGTTATTTTTCTACGCGCACACAAATTGAAAAAAAAAAAAAGAAAGAAGAAATATCGAGCTAAACGTGAACTTTTTGAATATTTAAAATGTACACACACACACACATCGGTGTCTGCGTGTGTGTGTGTGCTTGAATGAGCATAAAATTATATGCGATCGCTTGGTTCTTACTTTTTGGATACACGAATTGAATTCGCCGACTCTGGTCACACACTTGTGTTTTGTATTGAAAATTCGTTTTGGGCAATGCGTTTGATATTTCGAGCTGTTGCTTATGCGTCTTGACGCGCGTACGTTAAAAACGAAACTGAAACTACAAAAGTATTTTCAATTTCGTTTACGCCTTTTGCTTCTGCCAGCTGGCTGGCTGGCTGGCTGGCTGGCCGGCTGGCCGCTCCGAAGGCAGCGGCGTCAACGCAGCGCCACTATACAAAAACAAGAAGCAAACAAATCAGTAATATATCACAACAAGTTGTTGCTGCTGCTGTTGTTCTACAGTGGCAACGCTTTGCGTTGCGACTCACTCAGCCATTCAGCGAAACGATAACAACAATGACGTCATGATGTCACAACGACAACATCAATAGCAAAAATACAAAAAAAACATCAATGTCGCGCGCTTTTATTGTTATTGTTAGTGCATTTGGCCTCAACACACCCCCCAGCACGCACTTACCACTGTAACGGTTAGTTGCTCTTTGCGTTACAATTAATTTAATGAGAAAGCGCGAGAGCAGCCGCTTCTGCTTCTTCACTGTGCTATCATTTCTTGTGACTCAACTGTCAGAGAAAGAGAGTGTGAATGTGGGGGGAGCCTAGGCAAATGGGGTGACTATGAGTAATGCAATAACTAAATATGTATGTGTGCGTGTCTGTGTCTGTGTGTGGGCACTGTTTGGATTAACTGCGCTGCTGCCGTCTCAAGGAGAACGCGAATATATGTACACGTACGTATATTAAAACAAAAGTGTTCTAATCGAGAGTGGTCGGCTGGCAGATACCCTGTAAAACGCTGGTGCTTGGCAATATGATAAACAGTTTCTATATTTATCCCACGTTCTTCATTTAATATTTATGAATTGCTTCAGTATATATATATATATGTATATATATACTTCAATTGGAGTTTCTTTGCCTAATCGATTTTGAAATCAGTCGGAAAAAGCTATTAAAAGTGAACTTATTTTGAAAATAGCCCGCCTGATAGAAGTGAAGACCATTGTTTACTGATGTTTGTTTTTGATAATCAGATGTAAACATGATCTGGACATTGTATACGATAATGTATATACATTAATTACAAAATTCAGGTCTGCAGCTACTCTAATCAATGATACATACTCAACATACAATTAAACAGGGTATTTGGAATTGGTTGCATATTTGTAGTTATCAATGCGATTCATCGTTATCAAGTACACTCAGCTATTCGGTCATTCATATTGCCTTCGGCTTTCATTATTTAATATGCAAATTATGAGCTGGGCGTAGTAAGCATTTGAATAATGCCAACAACAAACGGATTGTATTCATCTTCCAAAATAGCACAACAAAGCTTTTGTGCGTTGCATACTTCAAGGCGCGCACGTTTTCGCCACCTGCTTTCTGATGTACCCCACCCATTTATTCGAACAGACTTTCACTTTGAATTAGTATGCCAGTTTTTTGCATAAATAGGTTTACCCACAGAAATCCCTTATTGAATATATATTCTCCAAAGGGTACTCGAAGCTTATGCTGGCCATATATAAAACAGTATGTATGCGGGAGCTATAATTAGAATTGATAATCGTGAGGCTAATTGACGAGACAGCTCTAAGATCTAGAAAATGTATTCGATAGCCCTTGACCCATCGATCTAGCGTAAAGCATGTGTAAGACTAATTGCTATATTTATAGCTACTCGAAAATCTCCGAGGATTTGAAAATCTACCCATTGCCGATACACGGATAACATAAAATTATAATTCCATTTGCCTATATATATGTATATGTTATATATTTCAAGAAAAACGAATGTTTTTCAAGCACAGTTTTGAAAGTTTGGAGACAACACAAGGATTTTTTCGGAGATAATGCCCAATGGCTTTAGAGGTTTAAATAAGGGAGAAGATGAGTAAAAAATAACTTGAAAAACAAACAAGAATAAAGTACAAGAAGCCAATTTTCAACGGAACATACGTTTCTCAGCTAGCTGTAAGCTTTAAGAGACGGATCAAGAAAGGGGTCCTGCTATCAGGATATACCTGTAGGGGTATAAATATGTTAATTAGATCGATTATAAAAAGATAGCAGTTCCAATTCTCATTAATTTATTTTCATTTATTCTTGCTTTTTGGGTGTATGAAACATGAATGTATGAGTGATTGTTTGTTTAAGGACATGCTGAGCCGCATCTCAATATTGATTGGAATTTGGCAAGCTAGGTGTCATTGTGTGTGTGTGCATGTGTGTGTGTGTGTGATGATGGCTGATAAATGCATTTGCTTATTACAATATAATTCAAATCCTGTGATCAGTACAATTTATAATTTATGTTTTCGTGCTTGCTGCTTGTGTTTTCTCATCTTCAGCATTGGGTTAGAATTAAGGCTAATCTTTGAATGTGTATGCTTGTATGTGTATGTGTATGTGTATATATGTGTGTGTGTGTGCATTTATATTAGCTTTGTTTTTTTTTTTTCATTTTTTTACTTTCGTTTTTTCTCTTATCGAGCTTTAGTTCAACTAGATATCATCGATAAATTTATATATGTTAATAAGGAAACATTTCTTTTTTTTGCTTGCATTCTTTGTTATGGCAAAGATACGTTACGAATTTTATGCAGCAGCAACTCTTAAGAACCTTAACTTTATAATAAGAGTTAAGGAGAGATAATCTATTCTTCTTCTCCTTTCTTATCTTTTGTGTTGTTTTCTCGCTCTAAATCATGTGTATGTGTTTCTTTTTCTTGTTTTTTTTTTTTTTTGTTTTTTTTTTTTGGTAATTTTGTTTGCATTAATTATGTTGCTGCTGAGGCTGTTGGCTGTTTCCAGCTAATTTAATCGAGTCCGTCATCTACAAAGTCCGAGGACTCCTTTTTGGCCTTTGGCTCATTGGTGTTGGAGGGCTTGCCCTCCGTATCGCAGAAGGGGGCGTCATCGCTGTCAGCTTCGCCAGCGGTTGGATCGCCAACTGGGAAGCCGCCCGGGAAGAAGTTCTTGACCAAATTGAAGATCTTCGGGTTCGAAACGTATTTGGAAATGTTAGCCGGATTGGCTAGTATATCTTGCATGGCAGCCGCCACTTCGGGATCTTTCATTTTCGACATTAAATCGCCCATATCGAAGCCTGCGGGCATGCCGCCGCCAGCACCTGGGAAAGCGCCAGCGCCTGGAAAACCGCCTGCACCTGGAAAGCCAGCAGCACCTGGAAAGCCACCAGCACCTGGAAAGCTACCAGCTCCCGGAAAGCCACCCGCAGAGCTTTGTTTAGCCTGCTCTTTGCGAGCTTTGCGCTGTGCACGTTGACGATCTTTGATTTTGCGCTCAGCCTGCTTGCGCTCCTGCTTAATGCGATGCTGTTCAATCTTCTTGGCATTGGGAGTCACTTCACGCAGCCATTCGTCGGCCTCCTCGTCAAAATCAAGCTTGCACGCCTGACGCAAATCTTTGGCTGCCTCCTCAAACTTGCCTAGCAGACGATTAGCGCGTCCACGGAACTTGTACGCCGCAGCCGAGTCACAGTTTAGCTCCAAGGCCTTGTCACAGTCGCGTATGCATGCATTTGGCTTTTTTAACTTGAGGAAGGCTTGGCCGCGCTTGGCATAGAATAGTGCATTCCCCGGGTTCAGCTCAATGGCTTTAGTATAGAAGCTGATGGCTTCTTCGAATTTCTGTTCGCTGTATGCGGCGGCTGCCTGGCCGCGCAGTTCGCTAGCCTGATCCATTTCCTCCTCAGTGGGTTCTTTGTTTGAATCGCCCATCGGCTGAGCCGGTTCGTTGTCGGCTTCAATTACGCCTGCGAACCGAAATTGAGGTTGGGAGGTTCACACATATGAGCACGTGATTTTTTTTTATAGTTTGCATTCGTTTTTAATTTACCTTCCATATCCAATTCCACATCAGATTCTGGCTCCGAAGCGCTTGCAGCCTCATCGCTTTTATCCGAATCATCTGCATCGGCTCCGGCTGCCGTTTCGGTTGGCTTTGCCTTGGCCCCGGCATCACCGCCAAAGGGACATTTACTACTGCACCCAGAGCAAACAAGTATGCATATACATATATGAAAATGTCGTGCACCTTAAGGGAGCGGCCAACACACACTTACCCAGTTTCCGGCATCTTGAAGCTTCCCTCGGGCACCTTACCACCAAACTTTTCAACAAAATCCTTGACAAATTGCAATTGGGGCATGTTCAACACCGTGGGATTTGTATTGACAAAATCAATGAAGCCTTTCAGCTTGAGCAAATCTTCGTGTTGCATTGGCGCGGCCATTTTTCAAAAATTTCGTTAAAGTTCTCGTATGTTCTGTCTATACTATTACAAATATATATGTAAAATGCGTCTCGCACAAAATGCTGAAATAAAATTTTCTCCGGTTTGTCAGTGTGACCGATTTTCACAGATAGCGGTTTGACAAATAACTACATGTTATCGAGTATATTTATGAACACATAACCTACATGAAGCATCGATACTTGTTAACAGCCCTGTTAAGATATGTACGTCAGACTAGCGGCGGTGACTTATCATCGATTTTTGTACTTGCTATCGGAAAAGAAATCGCTTACTTTTAAATGCATTTATATATGCTTTGAACCACAAAACCAAATAAATTCAAGTCCAAATGAAAGCCCGAATGTTGTTCATTCAAAAGGCCTATCGAGCTAGTAGCTCCAACGAGAACCGAAACAGTGTTAAATAATGTTATATAGTATTGAGCGGGAACAAATAAATTCAAAATATTTATATATGTAATAGAAATAAAGTAATAAGTGCAATACTTGACATTTTACAAGTAAACAATATCTTTGATAAGAAAACTGCTGCTAAATAATATCTTTGCAGACCGAACTTTTTTTAATACTCATAATGCTTTGTTCGTATTTAAGAAGCACCTCTGCAACGGTATTCAACTGGATGCGCAGCTTCAAAGCATACGTACAAAAGCTGACTGATTTTTAACATATTCTAACAAGTTGGCATCTCTATGTTCCCATAGGTTAGCATTCCTTATAAGTTGGCAGCCCCTAACATAGCGGCACTTTTAAACATAGCATAGCATGGGATAATATTTAATTTATTGGAAATATATATAATTTAA